AGGACTTAATGATAAGAATAATTATATAACATTTTCAAGTACTAAAAGGGACTTTAGAGTCATCTTCTCTAAATAAAGTCAAGTGTTTGGTTCTAAATATACTTCTGATCAGAATCAGATGTTTAGATCTGATTCTAAAACCCAAATGAAAGCAATGTTTTACTCTTTCTGATAGAAACTTTTCTCATTTAACCACTGGCAGGTTAGCATTTTATTGAGACTATCAACATCTTTAACAAAGAAACAACACACTTTATTGAAATTAGGGAATAAGGCAGCTTCCCCAGGAATCTCTGAGAGGTGATTCAGGAACACAAACTCACGCTATTATCTTTTGTATCTAGCACAGAAAAATATATCATACTCATATGGTTTATAAATAATTGCAAGTCTGGCTTAGCCAACAATCTTTAGTAATAATGTCTCTTGATAAGTATCAACAGGAACACCTTTTCAATCCAAAAAGCATTCTAGCCCCATTTTAAAAGCAGATATCAGAGCCTTGCTGTTAACAGTAGGAAAGGGAGAGAAGACAAATGAGCCTGAAAACTCATAACTCAAGTTGATTCTGAGTGAGTTCCTTGATTCTGTTCATGCAGTGATCAGTGGCATTGATGAGTAAGGGGATCAAACTATCTTCTGGCTGTGGGGTCACATGACTCGCTCTGCAAATGGAATAGGGAAAAAAGGGAAGTCAATTTTATTAGACTGTCAAGGGAAAACCTATCCTCAATAGGGAGTACCGAGGAAACTATCACAAGAAAAAGCAAGTTTCTTTGCAGAAAATCAGCTGCTCCAAAGCTGAAAGAAAACACCTCAATGGGGGGTTGGGAGTTGAGAATGACTGGATAGGTTTATTCTTAAAAAGCTATTTGGGAAGAAGCCCTCATACTCACTTTGTAATTTCAAGTGCCTTCTTTAAAACGGACACAAGTTTTGCAGACTAGAAAAGAAACAGAGAAGTTTTATTTTTATGGTAAGGGCTCATGCTGATTATGGGTTCTTTTCTTTTAGCAAAATTTTATTAATACTGTTGCTATAACACTTTTATAAGTTTTAAAAAATATTTTTAAATTAAGAAAAAAACAGCAAAAGGAAGAATATAACCTGAATTTGTCTCCATCACTCATAGCTCAGAATGTATAGAATAAACGACTGTTTCTCTTCTATGTACAGCATTTTAAGAACACTAATGACAATACAATATGAGGATGTATGTATGCCACCAATATATAGTACATATTTAAAATTTTTATTTGGGGTAATTGACAAAGCATATTGCCAAAGATGTTTATTTCTTAGAAAGTCAATTTTTTAAAAGTGAATACAAATAAAAAAAGTTAATGCCCAAAAGGATTCTATTCTACTTCAAGGTGTTTGCACATTACGAAGACAGATTTAATGAATCTAATTTCCACTATCTAATTTATCAAATATTATTAGGATTGAAGCATCTGATTGTAGAATACAAGCCATTTGGTGGTTTTACTTCTCTTTTCAATAACATTAGAGATAAGAATTTGAGTTTATAGTTCTTTTTTTTTAGCTGAGCCATCCTGCCACCTGTTGGCAGCTCAACGGCTGCTCAGCTCGGGCTGGGACTCGAACCGCTGTTGCTCAGAGCTCAAACTCTTGAGCGAGCTCTTAACCAACTGAGCCACTCAGACAGCCCCAAGAATTTGAGTTTATAAAAATAAGAGATTAGAACTCTCTGTAGCACAAGACCCAGGACTTGAAAGAATACAATAAAATCAGATTTTTATAAAGAACTTGACCCTCTATGGTTAAATCACCCAATGTGTTTATTTTAGAACAGAGTATGTTTCTGAAACATTTATTTTTGTCTACAGTAGGAATTAGAAACGTGTGTGACTTCAGGTTGAGAGGATCTGAAAGCACTGCAGTAATTAAGGCTTTCTTTTCAAAGCAGCATTTTCTAAGGTCTTTGGTTTTTTTCTAAATGATTACCCAAGTGGTTATGGAAGAGTACTATCAGAGCTCATCACTATAATAATTCAACTTCAGCAAATATTCATCAAGCAAAAACACATGTAAGAACTGTGACATTACTGTTGTACTTCCATCCAAGTGTAACAAATAAATATATTCCCGATAGCTTAAATATAGCTTAAAGCAAATACTTTAGTATTTAGTAGAGAATTAGTAAAATTCTACCCATTAGGTCTACCAATGTAGGTACTTACATTGATTCGCACAGTCAGGTGGCACATAGGTGGATATATGCTCAGAACCAAGTCATCCACACTATGGACAGAAAGCAAAAATAACCATTAACAAAAAAAGAAACAAAGCTCAGCTAGGTGGTTTCCAGTACACAGCTAAGGATGCAACTAGTAAGAAAATGACTGTCCCAGAAATGCCTATCAGTTCCTTAAATTGGGCAACCAATAAAGAATCAATTCAACAGTATTTACTCAACACATACATACCCCATTTTCACTAGGAAGCTGGGGGTGGGGGATCACTTGGATTGTAGCATGGGATATAATTAATTCAGTTAAAAATGTGAGGAACTGAAACCATCAGTTTACTAACTAATACAGGTGGGGTTCATCCACAGAATGCCACTAAAGTGAGCACCTCTTTAAACCTCTTTAACCAAGTGATCAAACTTAGTACCACCAATAATGGGACAAACTAACATCATGCGCCTCCCCAAAATGACGTAATGAGAAGCACAAAACGTTTAACTGATATTCTTGCCAAATAATGTTTAACCTGAATATAATCTATAATCAGGAGAAAACAATTGTATGAATCCAGATTGTTGGATATTCTATAAGACAAGTGACCTGATTCTTTAAAAATGTCAATGACAAAGAAGACTAAAAAGGACAAGTACTGCTCCTAGTTGCAAGAAACTAAAGAGATGACAACCAAATGCAGTGACACCCTGACGGAGCCCTGAATTTAAAATAAAATCTATGAGATATTTTAGAGACAACTGGGGAAATCTGAATACTAGATGATATTATATTCAATGTTAAATTTCTTGGATATAATAACAAGAAGTATTTAGGGATAAAATGTCATTATGCCTGCAACTTACATTCAAATGGTTGAGGGGAAAAAAATGGCACAAGTATCTATAGAGAAATAAAACAATATAGAAAAGAATGTGAACAATAAGTGCATCTAGATGAAGAATGTGTGGGTGTTTGCTGTAATACTTTTTCACCTGTCCTGTAGGTTTGAAAATTTTCAAAATAAAAAACTGGGGAAAAAACCTTGGGGTGACAGCCCAAGCTGAGATCAGAATGCTGCTTCCCAAATGTTTCAAGAGGGGCTCACACTTACCTAGGACTGATCTCATCAGAAATATCCACAATGTCATCCAGCTGGGCCACCTGATCCTTCTTCCCATTCTGTGCCACTGAGATCTGGATTTCCTTCAGGCAGGCTTTGGATGTTCTCACCAGCGCAAGGCACGGGATTATGAGCGCTTGATCTTCCTCTGACCAATATAAGTCCTGATTATTTGGATACCCCAGCACATCACTGTGATTGTCAGAGTTGTCCTCAATGTCATTCAAAAGCCCATGGTAAGGGTCACATTCTTCGACAGCCTAAGACATATGATGATTTATGTGAATGCCAAGTAATCAAAGGTGGCTATTGTACTTTCAGCATCATGTCTGAGTTGTCCCAAAACCTCAGCCAGCTACTTCACTAATGGCTACAGAGTTGAATCACTTCATCAACCCTTTTGCTCTCCTAGTCCAGCAATGGAACAGAGGGGAATGATACTAAATCACACGCTGGCATGGGGTGGGAGGCGGGAGACAGGAGTGAGGATAGGATCTATTTGGTCAATGCTCAGGACATCTCCTCTCTTTATAACCAGTTCTCATCAACTGGTCACAGAGTTGCCTTCCAAAGACCACCAAAAACAGAGATCCCCTCACCTGCTCCATTTCCTCATGTGCATCCTTCACTAAATCCATGCTCTTTGTCAGCATTAAAAGAGCTGCAGCTTTGTTATCTGTGAAAAATCAGAAGCACTACAATTAGAGGAGAAACCCAACAATTCTCTTAAGTCTGCAAAGGGCAACCAATAGTGTTCCCATTTGAAGGGAGTGCCAGGGACAGTCAATAAAGGGGCGGTTTAAAGTAAAATTCAGACATATATCTTTTGGGTATCCAGACAGGGGGCTAAAAAGCTTTTCATCATTCACAAGAAGAAGTAAAATGGTTGGTCATATGGCGTTTCTCATCATGGTCATCTTGGACAACTACTGCTTTTGCCCTAGCTGGCTCTACCTCATAGCTGCTTCAGTGTGTCCCATAATGCTGCTCCTGGGGAAGGACCAGGAGAACAAACCACATTTGTTCAACAAAAGACAGAGGGGAGAGGGGAGTTAGAATTTAGAAGTATGAGAACTAAAAAGTCTAGCAGAAAGTATTAATACTTATCTTTTGATGTTGGTAATAAACCATATATAGTCCACTAAATTCTTCTTATAAGTTAAAATATGTATATGCATGGTACAAAATTATGTGTAAGAATCTAGTATAAGGGGTCTGTCTGCTTTGGCCAGCAGAATCAGTGGCCCACTTCCCACTCTTACCCACCTCTTGGTATCCGAGGCACCTGCCTGCACGCAACCCAGACACTGTTATAGGAAATCAGGTCATTGTTCTCGGGCCTAAAAAAAGGAATCAATAAGGATATATTAATAATCTAGGTTCCTGTCTCCTAAAAAGATCCTTCTTGCTGGTCATTATTCTCAGTTACTAGTAACTTTGCTGTTGAAATGAAGCTTTTCCCTCCCTGAAGCAAGCAACCCCATTAACTGAGAACCCAACTGTGGCATCACTACCTCTGAGCTGGAGTGATGCAAAGCACTTCCACAAGCTGAGCCATGCCATCGACGATGTCCACAGTGGCGCTCCGAACCAGCTTTCTCAGGGTGATTCCTGTAGCCAAACCCAAAGACTAAGCAGCCTGGTCTTCTTTCCAGAAGGCACCAGCTGCTTCCCTGAGAATCTAAGCACTACAGAACTTGAGGCACTATGCACCCACATGCTTTAACTGGAGCGCCAACACAAAATGCAGGTCTGACTTATATCCCCATGTCATTTTCTTGCTCCTCCCACCATTCCTGAGTGGTGTTCTCCAAAAGAGATCTGGAACAAAATCTTTTCATGAGAGCATGTATTCATCAAGGACAGTGGTCCCTTGACACTTGTGCATAAAACACAAAGATTAAACCATTTGTGAATAACCCTGAAGATCCATGAGACATGTATTCATTTATAATTTTGGCATGATTATAATCAAGACATGGCTCTACAGGCAGGGCTGGAGGCCACTTAACCTCTAAGGGAGCTGAGAAACACGGTGTGATGTAATATGGGTGGAGGTGACTGGGGATGGCCTGGGTATTGGCTGAGACCCAGCCAGCATCTGTGGTGGTTAAAATTGGTTAGAGAGGGAAGAGCCAGTAAGAATTAAAACCTTAGAGTCAGGCAAGGCAGGGGATATGGGAACACAGCATCTACATCTAAAGGCTTACTGATGGAAGTTACTTACATTATAAAACTATCTGCATTTTATGGGAGAAGTTAACTCACATGCTAAAACTGAGGAAAAGGTAAAAGTCTCCAGACATAAGCTGTCATGTTAGCAAAGATCTACCCTATAAACTAAACATTTAGGTGTACATAGTGACTTACCCTGATCCTTGGGAAGTGAGTAATATATTGCAATAACTGCCTTGATGGCAGCACGGACCTGTTCACAGAACCTCTGGGTTTCCTATGAGGTGATAGACCAATTTCAGAATGAAAAAAAAAAATGGATTAGTTGTGGTCAACCCTTCTACTGTGGAAGAGAGACAGAAGAGAGCAGACATCTGTACAGCATCATCAAACACTTTCTGAAGTCCTATTTGAGTTAGGCCTTGTGTTACTCTCATAACAGAGAAAAATGAGCTGGACACTGGGTACTGGGCTGATAACTCAATAAAACATTAAGCAGCTGTAAAAACTTATTCTTGATATCTGCTGTCAAATATTCGCCATATCTTAGACCAGGAGTTGGCAAACTGTGGCCCACGGGCCAAACAGATACACTGCCAATTTTTGTAAACAGTGTTACTGGGACAGCCATGCTCTTTCTTTTACATATTATCTACAATTGTGTTTGTACTACAGGGGCAGAGTTGAGTAGTTGGCCTGAAAAGCCTAAAATATTTATTATCTGGCCCTTTACAGAAAAAGTTTGCCAATCTTATTTCAGACCATTAACCAGGTGTCTGTCTCTCTAACAGGATCACAATATACCTAAAGATAATTAGTATGGACTCTACAAAGCTCGATGTTGACTATTTTCCCTCTAAGCAGTCACTGGCTTTCTCTTATCTTCCTTGTCCTGACTTGGCTGCTAAATTCTAAGCCAGTGTAAAATGTGGTCTACAGATTGGTGCCAGTCCATAAAATGTTTGTTAATGGTCTGGGATGGATAAGTTCAGTGATTGAGAGTCTTGAGAGACTGTTATGGTAATTTGACATTGCTTCAAAAACCAAACATATAATTTTATAAAAATACCACTCCATGTGGAACTGGAATTAAAATAAACAAAACCATTCATCAGTAAGACTAACGTGCTGAGATTCTAAGAAAGCAATTGTGATTCAAATATATATAATTCAATAAAACCAAATTCTAAGTTTTCATCTGAGTGAAACCACTGACCAGAACATGTACAGAAAAATAGTTCTATACTGCCTCCTCATGGTATCTTACTAGCTGTAAATTTTAGGAGCAAGTCCTAAGTGTATCTGAAAGAAAAGAGTTGGCGGATAAGAAAAATAAGATAATATTACTGTTCCCTTTGAAAAGAATATTGACTTTCTCCCGCAAAGTTTTCAAGTGCTCCTATACAATTCATCTCTTACTTCCTCATCACAGATCTCTGAGTTATGTAGGGGGAGACAGTTTATCATTGTAGGTGCAGCAAAAGATATTTTTCCATTTCAAAATATCTGGATATATAGACTGAAAAGGAAAATGAAACTATTGACTATGAAAATCAAATAAAGCAATGAATATGCCATTTTTAAATAAACTTATTCCAAATTAAGTATACTCACTCTAGAAAAACGGGGCATAGGGCATACCTGGTCACAGTCAACATGTTTACTTTCATTAGTTTTATAATAAAGGGTTATTAAAAATGTATATTCTTTGTTCTAGCAATTCCACTCCCTGAAATTCTTTTTACTAATATACACACATACTCAAGGATTGTATTATATTAGGCAATTTACCACAGCACTGTTTATAATAGCTACAAGGTGGAAACAGCTTAAATGTCCATGTAGAGTATTGGTTAAATAAATCACGGTCACATGCATTCTACCGAATACCATGCAGCCATTACAAAGAAGTGAATTTTATAATGTGTTGCTGAGAAGCAATTTGCAAGTTATATTGTTACTTTTTTTCAAAAACAAGGTCCAGAAACGTGTTTATGGTGTCCTATCATTTGTGTAAAAAGAAGCAGGCATATACACATAAAAGTGCATACACTTAGGATCTGAATAATTCAAAAGTAACTGAGGAGGGGAGACAAATTTTTTAGCATACTTAACTTTGACATCTTTTGAATTTTATACTGTATAATTGTTACTGATTAAATATAAAAAATAATTCAATGTAAAAAGGGTATTATGCAGTATAACAAAAAAGGTGGGGCCGGCCGAGTGGCTCAGTTGGTTAAGAGTTAGCTCAAGAGTTTGAGCTCTGAGCAACAGCAGTTCGAGACCCAGCTGAGCTGAGCTGAGCTGCAGCTGAACTGCCAACAGATGGCAGGATGGCTCAGCTAAAAAAAAAAAAAAAAACCCATGACGACAACGTTTTACAGAAAAGTGACCCCAGTTTAAATCTTAATTCCATTGCTTATTACCTTAACCTGAGCTTGTGAGCCCACTTACTCATCTGTCAGATGGGGATCATATATGTGAAAACTGCAAGTGCTTAAAAAAATAGAAAGGAAATAACCAGGTTGAACTTCCAAATGAACCCATACTATTTAGATGACCTGCCTACGCCACGCCAAGTACTGCCCTTGGCAATGCAGTCTTCACGACAATCCTGTGGGGTGAGACCTGCAGTCTTATTTATGACAGAAGAGAAGACTAAATCCCCTGGCTGGAGTGTGAAAGGTGGAAAGAAAATGAGAGGATTCCTGAGGAATAACAAGGCAGCACAAGGATTCCAGGAAAGTAAAGCCCACCTGTGAGGACGGCAGTGGCAGTGGAAGTCTAGAGAAGACTTCTGTCAGGGTTGTGGCTTCCCTTGACACTTTCACAGCTGCCTCATCTGGAGGAGGGGTGACACAGGAGGAGGCAGGAGCCAATGTTAGTGCCAAGAGGATAAGGCTGCAGCTGCTGCATCGACTTGAAAGATAACGCGCGTTGTCTCTACACCCTTATACGTAGGGAGAACACCTCCAAAAAATCAATGTTTTATATTTCAACCTTTGAGGTGCTGAGGGTATATGGTGAGGTATCCCCGCAGAGAGGATGCGGCGGAGGTGGGGGTGGGAGTGGGGACTGGAAACGAGAGGGAAAGGGGTTGGGACGCTGGGAGAAGACAGATGGGAGTCCCTAACAGGAGAGGCACTCACTGAGACTTCTCCAAAACGTCTTCCGATTGAACTCCTTGGTGGTCTCCCGGGCTTCGCCGACTGGGTGTGTGTGGCATGTGGGCCGCGAGGCAAAAGAAACGCAGAGGTTAGGGGAGTCACCTCCGGCCCCCACCTCCTCCGCCCGGGCCCCTGCCCCACAGCCTGCCCTCTTCCCGATCCAAGGCAGCCCCTGCGATCGCCCTTCCCAACTTCGTCAGCTCACCCCGCACTCCAGGCAAGAGCAACCGCAGCTCCCCGGCTAAAAGCCGGAGCTGCTCCAAAGGCGGAGTCAGGGTGGAGACCGCGGCCGCAGGTGCACCTGCGCTCGCCATCTCGGCAGATCGCCTGTGGCCTGCAGACAAAGGCCGCTACAGCAGCTGCCAGGGGCACAGCAGCAGTTGCTGCACTTCCGGGTGATACAGCCCTGGGTTAGTTTCCGGCAACAACCCGCCCCGCCCCAGAGGCCCGGCTACGCCCCCTCCTTCCCCAGAGGCGGGCACCCTCCCCCGACCCCGCCCTCCTCCCCGGGGCACGAGGCCCTGCCGCACACGCAAGGTCCAGTCCGAATTATTTCTTATTCATCATTCATTTATTTGATTGGTTGAAAACACCCCCGACTAAGGAAGCAGAAAAAAGGGACTGGGAGCTAATAGCTCAAGGGTAGTCAGGGTCAGGCTCAAGTTCACACTGGTTCCCTCTCCCTAAAGTGGCATCTTTGACAGCTACCGAGTGCTCAACACTGTGCTAGGTACTTTACATGAGGTAATCCTAAAAACACTGGGCCTCAGATGTGCCCATACATATATATCCAGGCCGTCCTGTAGATCTAGATATCGGGCTTTCTCTTCACAAAAGTAAATCAACCCATTGCTTTCTTGAGGAAGAAATGAATCATGACATTATTTAGAGACTTTTCTGCAGTCCATTCTGCAGGAATCAATAGTGTAATTCCCCCCAACTCCCACCTGTCCAAGGAGCAGCAGCTACCTGAAGCTTGCCCACCAATACTGGCTTTCCACCTGCTGCTGGGGCAAAGGCCTGGGCTACAGAGGTGGACGGTGAGACATGGCCTTCAGGAGCTCAGGTGGCTTTTTAACTGCACTGTGAAGGCTCCAAGCTTGTTGGAATTCTGTGTCCACACATAATAAATAAGAAGAGGTGTGAGCAATGTCAACCAGGTCCTTAAAGGGGAGAAGAAAAAAGCTAGAGTGCCAAATGTCCTATGAAGAAAGAAGCAGGAATAAACCTGCCAGAGGTACAGCAGTAACATAAGAAGGTAAACAGGTATAATTTTCAAGCGTTTTCCTTGACGGAGATGAGACCTGAAGTTGTGACCAAAGCACCGCTGCAGCAAGCTCCAACACAGGTAAGCCATCAAGGGGATGTTAAAAAACACCAACTGTAAAGAGGAGCAGAACAGAACCATTAGCTTACCAGCAAGTTCTCAGAGGGATTGGGGAAGGGTCAGATACATTATTGGTAGCTCCTAAGAATATGTTGCTTTCCCTCTTGAGGGTTAACTCGGATTCTGATTCTTTATGCTTTGATTACACTTGGTTATAACACTAAAAACAGTTGACTTGTAGTTAGTTCTGTATCTGCCTGTATCCTTTTGTTCATCGTAAAGGCCCTTGATAAGGTGGAAATGAATTGATGTGTATATACACACACACACATATATTTTTCTTTTTCGGCAGAGGGGGGACTTGAGTATCAATATTTTTTTCTTTGTATTTTTATTTGAAGCAGTATGATGAGTACTAGAATACAGATTAGAAGATTTAAGTTATAATCCAAGTTTAGCTGCTGTATCATTCACTCATCACCCATTATGTGGTAGGCACTGCTATGCGCTGGGCTTGGGACACACTGGTGAACAAGTCAGAAAAGATGCATCATAGAGTTTACAGTCTAACAGAGAGAAGAAAGACCAAAAATAATAATAATAAATAAGTAATACAAAAATTAAAAAACAGAAAAGATAATTACAGACTGTGAGAAATTGGATGAAGGAAATGACTGGGTCATGAGAAGGCAACTGGGAAATGGGCTCTCTGAGGCCTGAAGGACAGGAATGAGTCAGTAGAAAGAAGTGCATTCCAGACAGAAGAATCAAATGAAAAGCCCAGAGGTGGGAGAGGTCTTGGCCTATTTAAGGCCAATGGACCTGGAACATGATGAGCCAAGTGGAAATTGGGACAGTCAGCAGGACCAAGATCATATCACTGTTCTGTTTAAAGGGTTTTAAGCTGAGAAGCAAGCTGATTAAGGTTTTAAATGGACCACAGTGGATACGCTGTGGCAAACTGACGGTAGGGAGGCAAAAACAGCAGTAGGAAGACCAGTTAGGGGGGTCCTGCAGTAACCCAGGCAAGAAATAATTATGATTTAGACTACAGTGGTGGCAACAGGGATGGAGAGAAGTGGTGGGTTCAAAAGATATGTATTGGAGGTAGAGCAAACAAGGTATTACTTGATGATGAACTAGACATAGGGTACAACAGAAGGAGAACTGAAGATACATCCTGAAGAAACTGTGAAGCCATTTATTAAAATTGCAAAAACTAGGAATAGGACTGTGGGCAGAAATTAAAGTTCCTATAAGAGATATACTGTTAAGTTGAGATACCTATTAGATACCTAAGGGAAGATGTGAAATGGTAGTTGGAGATACAGGCACCTGAAGTGCAGAAAAAAAAGGTCAGACCAGAGATATAAATTTGGGAGTCATGAGTCTAGATCAGGGGTCGGCAAACTGCAGCTCGCGAGCCACATGTGGCTCTTTGGGTACGTACATGTGTCTCTGAAGTAAAATTGAAAATGAAAATAAAACTATCATGGTTTCATTTACAAAACTTGTAAAGGATATTATTCACATATGGTGATTTCATTTGTTTTATGGCTCTCGAATAATTTTTAAATTGTTGTGAGGGACAAGATTGGCTCTTCCATCTCAAAAGTTTGTCAACCCTTGGTCTAGATGATACATAAAATCCATTATTACTGTACTACTTATTCAAATATGAATATAAACCTGCCCTTTGGTAAGGCTCAGGCTTTACTTGGTGTAAGATTGCTCCTGAGAGACAGCCTCCATTAACATAATAGAAAACTGAACTGGACCCAGGACACATGTGCATATGAAGTAATGCTATCCAGAGAATGCTCTGGCCTGTGGTCAGTGTTTGCAGAGGTCTTCCCTATTTGTTTATCTCTAATCCTGCTGATCACATTTACTGCCCTGTTATGAGGCTGTGCACTCATTTTGAACAATGTTTTTGGATCTCTTCTAAAACTTCAGATCATCACCTCCAGATTTTGGTCCATTGGTTCCACTAGGTGAGTAAAATAAATATATTGTTAGGTAAATACCTTTCAAAACTATTTATAGAGATTTGCTACAGGTCAGGGTTTTGTTTGTGTGTTTGTTTGTTTTAAAGGGAACTCAATCTAAATGTAAACCTAATATATCAGTGTTTTCCAAAGAAGTGTACTAGTAAGTCATTACTGGAAAGCCCAAGTCTGGTTTTGCCCAGGGCAGCTTTCACTGGAAAGCTGACCCACTTTTTGTGTGTGTTTATTTTTCCTTTCCTCCTTCTGAACTATTTTCCTTCTTCATTATCGTAATCAGTTTTGCCCAGAAGTCTATCATTTATTCTATCGTAAGTGCCTCATTTCATTTTTTGTCAATGAAAAGCACAGTTAAACAAACAACAAAAACCAAAATCTCTTTCACCTCTCATAAACCCTGCCTGCCAAAAATATATTTTAGATGTTTAAAAGACAACAGTGGAAGAAAGAGCTTAGGAAGCACTCAAAAGGCAAACAAAATACCAGTTATTAAAGATTTCCCTGCCAGTAAATTAGGAAACATGATTTATGGTGTTCAATTTGGGATTTGGGATTTAATGCCTATGTGTTATACAATTAGTCCAACAAAGCCTTAAATTGCATTTCTGACTTCTTACCTGGAGAATTCCAACCATAAATGTTACTCCACCTTGTAGGAAATGCCCATCAACAAAGATCCCAAAGGAAAAGCAGCAACCTATTTTGCCCTTAGTAATTTCACCAATAAACCATGGTCCTAAAGAGGCAATGGAGAGGAAAGGAGAAGGTTAAATAACTATGACTCTATGATTTAACTATTACATACATCACAAGATGCATTTACAGGAATAACAAAGAAATATGAGACCAGTCATCTATAAGCATTTTATTTGCATAGCTTTTCTTCTTTGCTAATCTCTATGTTGCATCCAGTATCCTAGCGAACCAGCTATTTGCTCCTCTGCTCCATATTTCTATGGATTATAAAATCACCTGAGTACATGCTGTATCTGGAATAGATATGTAGCTTGTAGATTCCAAAAACATACTGGAGTACATTCACCAATTTTAAGAGATTCTGTTACAATAATAACTTCAATATAATGCATTAACATTTCCTTTAAGAAGCAAAGAGGTATTCCTCAGAAGTTAATTTACCAGATAACTGAGATTTATTCCTTTAAGCTATAAAACTTCAACCACTTTCATCATTCAAAAATGCACTTCTCTTTCTGATTCATATTAACGAATGTATTCTAGCCTTTTCTTCCTGAACCATAAGCATTACTTTGTACATCAACTACATAGTCAGGGTGAACATGTGCAGTTTAATTTGCTTCTTTATTTTAATTTTTCATCTATAACGCCAGAATGACTTCTCTTCTGCCTACTATTATTTACTGCCCCTTCTCAGTATCCAGGTTTCTGGAATTACTATATTGTCAAGAATGATTAAGGGACAGTCAGACTTCCGTTTTCAAAATGCAAATACCATCATTTGCTGGTAAGAGTAGAGCTCAGCTTTAAAAAGCCATACATAATTTTCTCAGATATATATCATGTAAACGCCATTAGATACAAATTAGTCTAAAAAAAGTGTTTTCCTTTCAAGTTTCAATTTTTAAAAGTGGAGCAACTTCTCCTCGCTTAATGTTTTATTTTACAGCCAGGAATCAAATTACTTGCTTTGCCTCCTAGTGTAAGACAAGTGTCTAAAACAGCTTTACCCTATCTTCTGACAAGAAAACTGACCTCCAAAGGGGAATCTGCTATAGCTTGTTATACGTTATTGTAAAGTGTCATATATATTTTTTTATTTAACTACTTTGTGTTCTCTGGTGGGAGTTACTAATGAGCAAAGAAAAGTCCAAAGGTGGAATAAAAGTATGAAACAAAAACTAAGCAACAAATAGCCTAACTGATGTTTAATCACTAAGGTACATTAGTAAAAAGCTTTAAAAAGAGACCCACAGAGACAGCTGAGTGGCTCAATTGGTTAAGAGCTTGCTCAAGAGTGCGAGCTCTGAGCAACAAGGTCGCCTGTTCGATTCCCGGCCAGAGCTGAGCTGCTGCTGAGCTGCCAACAGGTGGCAGGATGGCTC